CCTGTGAATCCCAGTACCCAAAGTGGCTCAATCTTAGTACGTTTACAGGAATTTACAGGTCTCACCATAAAGAAACCTCTTATTTGAAATGGACCACCAGAGCCGATGAGCGAAACTCAAGGTGACCCCAGTAAGCCGAACAGTGCCGCAATCGTTCTGATCAATCTTCTCTCGGGATGCGCCGCCCACTTCACTACCTGTCGTCGTGGAATCTTAGTCACTTTTGAATACGATGCCTTGGCCGACGTACAAATCTTTGTTGTCACCTGCAGCTGAGCCCATACAACCAGTCTCAAAGAGAGAAGGCTCGATTGCTCATGGACACAAGCCCAGGAACATATGGGTTATAAGCGCCGCCACTTAATACGATGCCATCTCCTGTCCGTCTTAATGATATTATGTCAAATCAGATTTTCACCCTCACCCTCAGCTCACTTCCCTACCACGTCACTTTCACCACTAGTATCATAATCACTTCTTATCTTATCACTGATGAAAATACAATCCCATTAGGAACGTTTTTAGACTAAATGCGTCATTCTCAAACCAGGTTCCGCTTAATGATGCCACTATCACTTTCTCGAGCAGCTGTACATTTTCAGTCAGTTTGGCTGCAAGATGATGTCGGAGCGTTTTTCAAATGAAAGAATTTAGTAAAAGTCTGTCCAAATTCTTTTATTTCACTTCCAACGCCTGAATGATTGCCCCGAAAAGAGCAGGGGTTGAGCTTGCGGAAAATCGCCTAGTCGCGCGCGACTTTACCCGAATTTCGGACATCCCTATCTCACAGATGACTACTGAGGAATCGGAAGAGTTTCATTGAGGTACGGTCGTGAGAGCACGGTGCATAAGGCTAAGGCACCGAAATTCATTTCCTCTCCTGCAGTGATGCGGAGTTAGGGCAGAATATCACGTCAAGGGAAATTTTTTTTTGCTGAGCACAATCTCCTCCAACTTGCTTTTGTGTTACGACCCCATTTCTATGCAGTTATCCGTTTAAAAAATTCTACCAAAACCTTGCAGTCAATCGAGGGGTAGACATCAGTATAATACGCGAGAAATAGAAAAAAAAACCAATACAGAGAGGGGCAAAAAAAAGTCACTTTTCTTGACTTTCAGGGCGCTATAAGTTACACTTAATTGAATTCTGATGGACATTTCCACCACCATATTCAACAGCATATTGTATACTATCATGATGCTCCGCCACAGCCTTCTGGACGAGCGCCATCGAGAGATTCTGCCACGCGACCGTGATTCGGTACCTGAGTTCAGCGAGATCGTTGATTTCTCCGCCACTGTAGACCACCCTGTTGAGCTCCGCCGAATCGGGTAATCGAGGAGGTTCAGATCAGGTGAAACACTCCCAAGTAGGCGAAGTTTTTCCAACGTCCTTCGATTCCATGTGGAGGCACCCAATCCTGTAGCAGTACGAAGTTTCCAAGAAGGTACAGGCGATGACATGAAGGCAGGATATTCTCCACGAGTTGGTCGATGTAACCGTCAGCGCTCACCTTCAGTCCGGGGTCCACGAAGAAAATATCGGTCTTCACATTCCAGGAACTTCCGGTCCATACCACCAACCCGCGCCTTGGCGACTGCGGTGAAGATGATATCCTGGACCGTAGCGACGTTGTCGGAGCTGCTCGATGTTGGAGGTCTTCCAGATCAAGAGTACTGGTCTCCAGGTAGCTATCCATGGGTGACTCCATTCAAGAAGTTTCGCAGCTGTTTGGAGGTGACGTGAATTCCAAGGCCTTCTCCAGTCAGGCTGCGATTGGAGATGACTTCATATTTTGGTGTACATGAAGGTGATGGACGAGAGCCTGCTCCTGCTTATCGAGGAACATCTTGGGTATCTTCCGCCCTGGTACTCGTATCCACGTCCTCTGTCTGGGCTGCGAAAACTTGCTGATATGTGACTCGGCCGAAGTGACTTTTTCTTTTGCCCCCTCCTGTACTAAGCATTTCCTTCCCAAGATAAATTTGTCCTCTCTCTCCAGCAACCAAAGGATACGCTCTCCTCGTATAGAGACAGAAAAAGAGATTCTGGCGCTATAAAGGGCTACCTACCGTTTCTTCGTTTTCGGTCAAAATGTGTTCCTGTGGCAAAGTTTACTGGGTATTCGCTGCTACAGCAGCGGTCGACAATGTTCTGCAGTTAGGAAACTTTACAGATTATCGAAAGACTGTCTGCAAATACATCCAATGGGGTTTTGTGACGTCCACCTGCGCAAATAACAAAAATTCATTATAGAAGAAGCTTTGCTCGAACTGTGGCCGTTCACAAGGCTTATAAGAAAACAGTAATCTTCCTGTGAATGTTCCTATATTTTAGCCAACACTTCTCGATAGAGATAATTGACAGATTTAATCTGCTACGGATAAGAATATCCTGCATGTGATTACAAAGTACATGAAAGGATTCTGACGCAAGATAGGGCTTAGATGCCTATCAATGGAGTTGGACGTCACGTTCACTGCTTAGTGCATCTCCATGGGGAACCTCTTCCAGGATTAACCGCAACAGACCCGCGCTTGAGGGCAGCGCTCGTAGTTCGCGCTACACGGGTTTATGGCGCGCGATTGCGGGAGTCATGCTCGGCACTAATTCACCGTTGAGGCAAATCTTCCGCCAAAAACTCCCATTCTCAATGAGATTGAATGGACAACTGTAGCGGGCATTTCAGCGTGTCGTTCACATAGCCTGAGTCGCTTTAACGACGTATGTATGCTTTCAGTACACTGAACTAGCTGAAGAATCTCACTGCAACATCCCCCCTACTAGTTGTTGTAAGCATGGCACTTCTTTTCAGCTTTGTCTTCACCTAGGGCAGTTCTTTTTCAGGGCTTTTGTCAAGTCTTGCCAATTGTGAATAGCCCACTTACTACTTGACCCGGTTCTAGTAGGTCCTCTGCTGCATTCATTCTACTTAACGCGTTTTCACACGTTTTCTTATCTACATCGAATTCACTTCAGGTTTTTTGTAGGTCGCTTCGAAGAACTTCTACTGTGAGCAAACACAGCACACAATGCCAGCGTCGTCGTGACAGAGGGTTATGACAATGTGGTGAAAGAAGGTGTTCGCGATAAGTCCCAAGGCGTTCAAATATCGATAAGCCAGTACGACAGAATGTTGCACTCCTTAGCAGCAGGCGCTGAGTGGCGCCTTTTCCAATTAAAGGCACCGTTACAGGTCTTGCCAAGGTGCAACATGCCGACACAGACAACCATCGCAACCGCCCGCCCACAAATGGCCGCACAGTTTACAACAACTGCTGGTTACTCCTTATCGCTCACTTATGAAGTATTTCTGTGATAGTGAAGCATCGTGGCATGGATGTATGATATATTACGTGCAGGCACGAATCCTATGAAGCGGTTATTGGCACGATGCCTGGGAAACTCGTCCGAAAATGCCTCTCCCAATTCAGAAGAGAGGTTGGTTGGTTTGTTTTGGCGGTCTAACATCGCTTCTTCGTCGTTTTACCCAAATAAGCACCACTCCTAGCTTTTGAGCAAGTACCAAATTATTCTGCTTTGTACCTTCAATCGAAGCAACGAACACAGCTGCAGCTTGGAGTTGTAGACTTGCCTCCTCCACAAATCGTCACATGAACAAAGTTCCACCAATAAACGCTACCTTATACAGATCAACTCCCTTGCCATGCATCACTGTCACTATTCAAGTAAATATTGTGCTTTTAGTGTTGTTTTCTGGCTTTGGTAAGGGGCGGGGGGGGGGGGGCGTTATTTGACCGCTTGTTCATGCCATGGTTGACCCTGTTACCACGTTTAATCTGCACAAGATCTCTACTGAAGACGTCAACGGTTTGAATGCAGATTTTTGAGAGTCTCAATATTATAATGGCGACCTAAAAGCTCAGAATTTAAGCAATAAAAAACTTGCTGCTAGGATTTTGTTAAATACGTCTGAGTTTCGAAATGGAGAAAAGGATCGTTGTTTTAGTATGACAACTAATATCAGATAACATTATTGTGATGAACTGCATTTGACTTATAGGAAACTTCGGCTCTCCACCTACAAAGCTTCAAAGTAGCTAAGATTGATTTTGTTTATTGTCATTATTGGCAAATCGTCGGTTTTATGACCAGTAGTAAGGCGCAGCGAATAAAATCGGTAAAAGACTCTCCCTCCAGTCCTAATAAGCTGACATACCACAATCCATTTACGCTCTCTAGGGCTTGCCAGGCATTAAGTCATCTCACCCAAACACAGGTGAAAGCATATTTATTTATTTATTTATTTCATACACTCAGATGAGTGCGCCATAAAGAGAATACCAAGAAGGAGATTGCAACAGGGTACCAGGGTGGAGATGTAGGTGGTCAAAATACACACTAAGAAGAAGAAGCGCGCCCAGTGCCTAGAATACATAAGGAGAATTAGGTCGGAGTAGAATTGAATCTAGCCCCTGTGTCTATGTGTTCATACAAGCCTCTTGGTAAAGATCTAGGCAGAAAGAGGACAGAATCGCCAGTTGTTAACCAGTAATCTCTGCACTGTTGACCGCATGGTGTTTCCTCACCGATAGGAAATTGAAGGCATAATGTCGGAACTTCGGAACACGGGTATGCCAACATCCCACGTGGAACCGACATAATGGATAATGGTATAAGAGCAGAAGGTAATCACTGGCAGGGTAGTGAGGCATGTAAAGATGAGGGGGCATGATCTAGATAAAAGGCGTGAAGTAACCATATAGAGGAATAAGGAAAGCAAAAGGGGGGGGGGACAGAGGCGTGGGCTCCACTGTTTGGAAGCTGGTACATTTCGCTACCGTATCCCGTATCTTCGCCGATCTGCTACGAAGAAAGCCTTCTATAAACTAGAAAGTAACCTGAGTGCTCAGAATCAGGGCTCACTTGCCGAAACGGGTGTGATATAATTGAAACGGGTGTGATATAATTGAAAAGCGCTGCTCATATTAATGCGCACTGGACCAGCAATTGCGGAGTATGGTATTCTCGATGTGAAAGACTGGTGCAGAAGGAAGAGGGAAAACGGAAAAGTTGTGAGTAAGGAGTATCCATAGTGATCGCCCTGCATAAGAAGAGGGGGAGATGAAGTCTAGCGTCGAATGTCTGGTCCCGGGAGGAACTGGGCAGTGTTCGGCGCTCAATGTGGTACTCATGTGCAACAAGGCGATTCATGGAATAGTGCAAACTGCCACTGGAAACAGTGCCCAAAGGCAGTTCAGACACTGCAGCTTGTGGCCGCGGCGGCATGTGTATAATGTAAACTTAAATGCTCATAGGATGAAGATGCTGGGTCGTACACCATTCAAGAGCACAATCCACGCTCGCTGTAAAGGCCTTGGCGGACCACTGTGCTCTACTCATTGGCGCCCCTTCTTTCTATGACGGTCAGCGTGAGAGGCGACCCAGTAAGAAGGACGCAGGAGGGTAGGTGGGATTGGGTATGCCCATGAACGTTGGACATTCCTCTAACTCAATGCGACCATCACTTCAAAACTGGTCCGTTGACATCCGACCCAGGGAACTCAGGGATGAATCAAGTCCCATTCTTGTAAGATCAAGCTGCACATCCAAGAACTTCTGAAATTCTGAAGTAAAGTGGAGTGCGCGGCGCAACTCACACCATCATCGATAAAACCATTAATATTAACAAAGCCTTACCGTATACATGGCTAATATCCACTCGTCCCTCTTCTGGTTCACTTCCCGAAAATTCGTCAAGTTGGAAAAAGACATTATCTTCCACTGGGCTTACGAGAACGTCCTCCTTATGCTCTACGGATGCAGAACTTTCTGATTTTCCCTGAACAACAAGTTAATTCTAGAGGTTCTTAAAGGCGGGCGAGAAACTCTGATTTCTAATTTCTGGCCGCCTTTGATTACGAATAGAGCACAAACCTTTGCTTCATTCACTGCTGCCTCTTCGCTGCTAGGTGTGGTCTCCTCCGACTCAAAGATTACGATACCACGTTCAAAAGCCTGTTGTTCCTTTTGTCTGCGTTCAGAACCGCTTGGCGGCCGATTGACGAGCTTCGACAATGTGGAGTCTTGCTGGGATACAGAATTCTTCTCGACGACAACCGGAGCCTCACCCTCAAGAGCTGGTTCTGACCCAGAAGAGCTTTCTTGAGGTAGTGGAGGTACTGGTGGCTTCTGGGAAACAATTGGCACCACAACGTCACCTATTGGTTCTGAAGATAGGGAATCTTGGGAGGGCACGCGAGGCTTATTCGATTGGATAAAAAGGTGTCTGCCGGAGTCCGCAGCGAAAGAACGCTGTGAGGTGGGCTCCGGTGACGGCGATAACGACGACGCCGAAGGAGTCAACGATATCCGACGATCAGTCGTATAGTAAAGGACCACTCGCTCGATAGAAGGCGTTGGGGTTCGACCCCGTCGACGGGTTGTTTTACGGTCCGCTCGCTCCTCATCGCCGGCCTTCTTCGTAGACTCTTCTTTTGTCTCGGATTTGTTGTAGAGATGCCGCCAGAAGCGGTCAAAGTTCTCCAAATCGACCTGAACATATTATTTGCTCTTTACATCTTTTACCATGGCGGAAGTGGCAAGATGGCAAGTGGCACGCCTAGCACGCGCGCGGCACGGGATCAAACATCGGATCTGCTCCCTCCCGGGTCAAACAGTTATTCTGCCCTACAGAGACTGTGAATTCTTGAGATGTGTCTGGGAGGATAAGTATAGCACCTCGCAGGTCATTGTATAGGATGGATTGTTGTCAATAAACCACTATGATCCTGAACTGAAGTAGAATGTGCAGCGCTCACAGTCGATCAGCCTGTGTTCAGAATATGCCACGCATTTCAGCTTCTCCAGAATCGCAGCGACATTTTGACTGCGATTCGGCCAAAACTATGTCACCGGGGCTCACTCGATGCATTTTTCAGTATCTTTATGTCATCTATCGGGCGCTCTCTCGATGCATTTCAGCTATCTTTATCATGAAAGCGCGATAGTACTGAAAACTCGAGAATGGAGGCGTAGCGTAGCTTCTTATTTCATTTATTTATTTATATTATTTTATTTTAGATCGCACGCACTAGGTGCGCTAAACAGTGCAAGCGATAGGCTTAGAGTAATGGAACAACCAAAAATACGAATACCATAAATAATACAAAAATTCGGTAACACAAAACAAACGACAGCAAAGAATGGGAGCGCACGGGGATTTGTCCCCTCGATGCGCACGCGATTTAGTAGCTGTTGCACGCTGTGCTACTTACACCCTATCGGCAACTCAAACGATTTTTGCCCATGCCTTCCCGTTCTTTCGCCAGTAGGCAATCTCATTTCCATGCGATATTAACTTGGAGACGATGCGCGCGGCGCAACTACTCTGTGCTTCCTAACTGTTTTATTGAATCCAGCTCACCTCTTTCTTTGCATCCTCTCTAGCGCGGTGAAGATTACAGTTGAACCTCATCTTTACGAGGCTCACCTTGTCCACCTCTGAGCTGACGAAAGAATTCGCTTCACTCTTTTCAGATGTCGTTATCGAGTCCATCCTATCCATCACCATTTTTTGTTTCTGGAAACACTCAACAATAGGACCCTCTAGAAGACGTTTACGGCGTTCATCCAGTGATGCGAATTTCACTGACACTCGTATTTGGTAGAACTTTGTCGTTGCATTTGAATCTGAACAAACGTCGGCAGGTCTTCATCGACCCCTGTCGTCGAAGTGGTCGTATTGCCAGGCGGACTGGCACTTACGCTCTTCTCAGAGCACGCGGAAACCTTGACCTGAAATCGAAGCCACTCATTTGAAGCTCGCCTTCACCATCAGGTAGTAGTGGAAAAAAAAACTATGACTAACAATCAAAATCACTGCCTTTCTCATCAGAATACTTGCCTACTAAGAGCTGCAAAAATCCACAGCACAGGGAACCACGCCCAGTCATCTCTGTTTAAGTATTAATGATTCATGAGTGTGGGAAGCTACTACCACCTTGCAGCAACGCGTACAGGCTATTTCCAGTGCATTAGTTTGGGCACTACGAAGTCGAGCACTACTCTGCGGTTTAGGTCTCGTTGCGAATGCTGCGCATGCGCGCCGCCTGCGACGCCTTTTTCGGCGTCATTCTCGCAGCACAAGAGTGACGAGCTGTCCCAATAAATCATACACTTACCTCCGGAACTGGGGCGGATTCGTCCGATTCTCCAACTGGAACTTGCTTCGGGTCATCGTCGCTCACATAACCAGGTGACGTTGATTCCACCCACATTTCCGTACGGGATCTACGCTCTTCTTCTTCAAACGGATCAACAAACGCGTTCGCACTGAAAATAAGGTTGACTTCGAAAATTTTCCCGGCCAATATTTGAAAATTCAGGAGGTGGGTAAGAATAAATACAATGATCACTTAGCGTTGCTTTCAAAAAAAGATAAACGACTAGATCAAGCCAGCTGGTCGTTCTACGATGCCTTTGATTTTTAGTTGAGATCAGTGGGGTGGCGTGTAATTATTGTGGCTGTTTAGCCCAACCAAATCGTATCTCAACAAACTGTCAGAGAATCAGTAGTAGTAGTGAACTAGTAGCTTCTTGTTGGCTCTGCAAAAGACCCCGCAAACTACCGTGCGATGCAAAAGTTGAAAAATTGGTTTGCAAGGACTGTTTACGATAAGTGAGTGGTATAACTTACAAGGAAAGGGTCAACGGGTTTCAAACCACAGTGGAATGAATGTGAATGTGATGCCTAGATATGTTAACAGGGTTTGAACTGCTGATTACTCAAGTTGAAATCAAAGTTGTTACAAGCGTTCGCAGTGCTTACCGTGGCAGAAAGTCGGGGCTTCGTCAGGGGTCAAGGAAAAAAACCCAACCGAGAGGTGTGGGTTTCGCAGACCCAGGTAAAAGAGCAGACTTTAAGGAACCCACAAACCTCCTTCTACTGAACACATTTCTGGGGAAGTAATACCCATTTAGTTTCGACTAGAATATCGTCAGCGAATCGATTTTTTTCTCCCGGAGTAAGGATTTGATTTACCCTCTCAGAGCTCCTCAACCCATCCGCTCCCTAGGGCTCGGCTGAAATTCTTCACCTAGTGGGCTTACACAACCGCTCTATTTTCTACCCCCCCCCCTCTAATCGAACACAAACCGATCACTATCGTGAAATGCGCTGCCAGCGGGCTCATTTCGCGTTTCCGGCTACCGCCCCGACTGATTGCGACGATATCAACTGTATGAGCAAATAAATGTTTCAGTGCTGCAAGACAACGCTGGCAGATAAGTAAGTCCTTGAAGTCGATTTGGCTAAAAGTTTGTTTCTGGGTGTAGACTGGCTGCCGTGCACGACATCGGACCTTCGACTGACAAGGGAAGTCCAACAGGTCGATCCGGCCATTTGCAATAAGATGTAGGACGTGTCTTGAGCCGCTGAATCCAAATCTGCCCTCGGAATTTGCGGAACGATTCTCTGGGAGTTACGGACGCGATTTAATCTTGGCTCTGTTCGCACAAGTTCAGAACGATAACTACATGCGGCAAGCGGCCGACGGCCTAGTGGATAGGCGCACGGCTTCAGAGACATCGAGATCGCATGTTGGAATCCTTGAATTCTCAAAAATTTTTGCTTTTATGCAGAACATACTCCCACTTCATATACTTCATATGAGACTCCCTAAAACGCTTCTATTTGGCCAGCTTACCTGGTTCTCTACGGATACGCCAGCTTCGGGCACAACATTACGACAGAACAAGAAAGCGACAACTGGCTGTTTTTCGTGCGGAATGCCACGTGTTGGTAGATCATAATCATGGGTGCTGACCATATCGGTAATTTTGCACAGAACACGTGGACAGGATTTCGTTCAAA